ATTAAGGACTTGAGCCTTGTTCTTCTGAGATCAATAGACGTACTGTACTCAATTTTGATGGAAGCAGGACATATATGAATCCAGTAATCCATGATTTCCCTCTCTTGCCTCTTCCTTCACTGTTTTGGCAGAACCAGATGACTGTAGGTTATATTTGCATATTTCTATGAAAGCTATATAGGGGTATAAGCAAACCTGCATTCACTGAAAAAGGACAACATGTGCAACTGCATATTTACTAACATTATTCAATATGCATAGAAAGGAGAGAAAGAGGAAATGATAAAGAAATCAGCCCAGCAATTAAAAACTATCCTCCTCTTTATAATCAACATAAAGAGTTGATGATCATCCTTACAATCTTATTTACAAGCTATTACTTTAAACTCCCTCTCTTTACACCTATTATAAAAACCCTTCAATATTTCATTTTAGAACAAGACTGAGAAAATTATTATGTTTAGAAGAAAATAGCATTGGTGATTTTCAGCACTATGCATAAGGGCAGGCTAAGGCTGTCTGTAGTTTGTGCTGAAACATGAGATCAGAGCTCACACATGAAACACTGCTGGCTTGACCCTGAACACAGGGAAAGTGCTAAAGTGCTGACCCCAACAGGCTTGGCTTTGCACCTGAAATCTCAAAAAAGGGAAGAAACAAAAACCCTTGAACCTTTCTTTAATAGCAGCTCAGACTACTCCTTTCAGAAGAGATACTTTCCCTTCCTCCTTTCCAATTAGACTGCTGCTTTTAGCCCAGCAGAGAATAAATGACTTAAGACACAGAATGTGGAGGGCAGACCTACAGTAAACACAGAAGCCATGAAGGATTTATTTATTTTTTTTTTATTTTTCCCCATCTACTGCAAGGCTCTGGAAGCCCCTAGAACTGCAGACTCATTCAAATTGGCTTCACACCTTCTGGTTGTGAGTAGATTAAACATTGCTGAATAAAATGAACACAGCTCAGCAACAGGATGATTCCTAGATGTTGGAAGAATTCTCTTAAGGGCTGCTGGAAGCGCACGAGGCTTGGAGCATCCTGAGGATGTGGAGTGATACAGAAGTGTGCTGTTCAACCATGTTTGTACCCTTATTTTCTCCTGAGTTAAAAGAAGTGCAGAGTGCTGGGTAGGATTCCTCGACAGCAAGAAGGAACTGTGCTAGCTTCTCTTAATGCCAAATAAACAACTTTCATGTGTTTTAGAGGCCTTAGGTCCACCCTGAAAAACCCTGTAGGAAGTCCTACTCTCAAAAGAATTTCTACTCTGTTCTGTTGACATCAAAGGCATCTCTATTAATTTAATTTTCTTCTGCTGTTTGCAATAGTCCTTCTCTGCTCCCCATGCATTGAGTGTTTTTAATGTAAACATGCCCTGGCAATATTATGTTTAAATAAGTGAGAGACAAGTCAGGATATCTCAACAGGGTTGATATTGCATATTTAATTCAAAAGCTTGCATGTGCTTTTTAAAGTTTCTCTTCATAGGTGCATGTCTTACTTGGAAGAATTGTGTTGCAGTTGGACTGCAAATCATAATCTAGAGCTGACTAAATATTGATGTGTTATAGCAGTTTATTTTTAAGCTGTTTGGGATGAATCCCCAGCCAGCGTAAATTGGCCCACATTTAAGGCAACAGAGTGAAGCTGATTTATACCAGCTGAGGCTGTGTCCTTATGCCCTGTTAAAAAGCTAAAACTATATCAGAATTAATAAGAACAGGGCAAGAATTATGAACCAAGAAAATATTTTCATCTATTTTTAACAGAAAAAAAAATAATGATACAGTGATTTCATTTCAAGACTAAAGCAAAGATTCAATAGTATTTAAAATGTATACAAATATCTCATAGCTAGTATTTAGACTACCTATTTTTAACAGAAAAAAAATTAATGATACAGTGATTTCAAGACTAAAGCAAAGATTCAATAGTATTTAAAATGTATACAAATATCTCATAGCTAGTATTTAGACTAAGAGGTAGATGTCATATTCTAGGAATAGTATAGTGTGGAATGATGCTAATGGCAGTTGCTAAATACATTTATTTGCCTGTTAGACAGGACACAAAGAGGGTGATAGCAATGGCAACCACAAGAAGGTTTACAAAAGAATTTCTTGTCTTCTTTTGCTATTCTATATTATCTATCTTTTGGTGCATTTCTTCTGGAAGGGCATGACGGAAAAGTGTCAAGAAGGAAAAAGATCTACAATACAAAACTTCACATTTACAAAAAATTAGCTTTATCATTTAGGGCACCCTCTGTACTGTAATGGAAGCATTCTGTACTTACAATTTAAGATTACCTGGCGTTACTGAGCAAGCAGTGGAAATTCCAGGTGAGGTGATTCAGCAAAATAGGGGTCAGAAGAATGCAGCTCTCTCTTTTTCTCTCTCTCTCTTTCTCTGTTGTTCATGCAAAAAATACCAGGGCATATGGCAGCATATTTCAGCATCTTAACATACTAGGCTCCCTTGAGGACAGAAAAAAAGATGAAACTTGTGCTGTTGAGCCAGCAATAAGGTTACAGAACAGTGTTGCCAGGCATTCAGAGTGCTGGCAGCAAAGCCATTAGAGGAGTCACTGTCTTACTTTGCCTAAAGGTGTTTCAGTGGTATTTAATAGTGCTCCAAGAAATGGAAAGCAAAGCTGGTGAAAATGAGGGGCAGTATTTTTTTGTAAATTAGTTGCCATTGCAACTAGAGGAATTACACATATTGCATTAGGATATCCACTGCTTGTAGATGTACCTTCCACTTTTCCCTTGTGACTTTTGGGGGTCACCCCTTGCTTGGAATAATCAAAATGCATATTATAATTACATGGTTTTCCAATATCCATACACAGCAAGTACAAGATACTTACATGTAAGTACACTGTATTTACCTATATTTTTGCATAGTTTTTAGTGTGTACTTTGTGCCACTTAATAAAAAGCATTACTCATCATTTTTGTTGTTGCTGTTTTTCTTTATTAGACAGCTCATTCAATTAAAGTTGGAGTAGCTGGGATTTTTGGTATGTTCATAACAGATTACCAGTCCCTAGGAGTGTAGAGATTAGACATTTGGAGGAGTCTGGGTAAGCCATGGGGGGAAGCTGCAGTGTGAACATGAAACTTTTAAATCACCTCCTTAATTAAGAAACGCAATATCAGATTTAATGATGCTAATTTAATAAACTTACCTTTAATTGGAACGGAATTCTAAAGGTAAGAAGTCCGTTTTCCTTTTGGTAACACTTTACAATAAGTGGCACTAAATTACACTAGAACTGCTATGTTACAGGGAATTACATGTAACTACACTGTAACTGTTGAAAGAGCTACTGTACATGTGCGTACATGGTAACTTCAGTGCTGTTACAATCATGAATTACATAATTACAGATGATTCTGTCCTTTCTTTTCATTGAAATAGCTATATATATATATTTATATATATATTATACTGCAATGAAAACACACAAGATGTTAACTTTCATGTCTCACTTAGAAAAGTTGCTTTTCTTCATGTGTTCCTTTAGAGAGGGAGTCTCAGTGCAAGACGAACCATCCTTAAGTAATGTGGAAACTTTTGAGATGTTCTAGCTTAAACTCTGAGCCTCAAGTTAAACATCAGGTTCCTCAAACTGTCTCTTGGTTTGTCAGATGACACTAAAAGAGTGGGATGATGCACCCCTTGTCTTCTGATGCACCGCTTTCTTGTTGAAATAATGAGAATGTTCTTGAACGCATTAAAAAAAAACAAACAAAAAAACCCCAAAAACCACAAAACCAAAACAACAAGAAGAAAAAATAAAGTCTACATCAAAAAGTTTAAAAATAATCAGCAATCAACACTGTAAACAGTACACTGGCAGAAACTAGCTACCTGCTCTGGAGAAAACTACTCTGCAAGTGAGTGAGGGAGAGGATGTCACATACATTTTAGTGAAGATGGTTCCCATTCAGAGCCTCCATTTTACACACTCACTGGTGCCTCACACCATCATAAAAACATTTTTTTTCTTCTTTTCAGAATCGGAACTCGGGTGAAAGGAATGGACAACTGGCTTTTAGCCTACTTAATGTCATTAGTGTTGAGCCACGACTCTGCTTACAGAAAAGAGGGATGCCTCGTTGCCCCCAGTGCAGTAATCTGAACCCGTGAAGACCAGACAGGCCTGCAAAGTGCTGTCCAGGTAGAACGCTCTGTGTGGGGCTGTTCACAGCTGTGCACAGCTGCAAGGGACATCACCAGGTGCAAGACAATGGAAGATCAAATGGGTTACAAATGAGCGCATGTGAGCAGTTTTAATTGAAAGCCAGTGGGGAAAAGAAAAAAAAACAAACCCAAACAAACCTGTCTTAACAGTACAGTTCATATCTGATTTTTTTTTTGCCAAGTTGAAATGCTGTTTGTATGCCACTGGAGAATATGGTTTGAAATGGTTACCACAAGGCCAATCCTGCTTTTGAAGGCCCTGCCTGACCTTGGCTGGGTAATGGTTCAAGTAACAACCCTACTATTCAAGCGAGCTGGAGTTAGGAAGGATGAAGAAAGGCGTAAACACCACGCTGGTGGGGAATTCCACCGGAGCAAATAAGGCCCTCATCCAGGGAAGCACTTCGTTTTTAAGCATATGAACAGTGCCTTACACTCCAAGGGAACTCCTCTGACACCTGAAGCTATGTGCTTAAAAGCTTTGTTGAACTGGGCCCCAGGTCCTGAAATAAAACCTTGATACTGCACTACAGCTAATGTAACTTACTGCTGTGACAAGAACCCATATTTTTGGTATTAAACTGAATGACTTCCTTTGCCAGCCTTTTACATGTTTATGTTTTGAAAGACATGAATATCTTGTAAACCTATACTAGTTTTCAATGTGTCTAGTAGCACCTACCTGGTTCTCTCAAACTACCATATTATATTAACATATTATTGCATTTTTCCACAGATGGGTATGGAGTGATCTGTTAAAACAAGCATGCAATCACATCAATGCAGACTTATTTCTTTAAAATGTCATACTGTATATGATTTATTATGTTAACACTCAACCACATCATATTATTTATGTCTGTATATTTTGAAAAAAAGTGCTGCTTTGATTGACGTCACCCTTTTTTCTTAGAAATTAACAAGATAAATGCTTCAACAAAAACAATTAAAATACTCTAATATTGTCCTTAAAAGGTTTATATTCTTCTGATAAATAATCTGTCACAGCACCTTTATCTTCCCTTTTACCATACCACATGATGTCGTATTCCAAATTCTCCCTTCCCCACACAAAAATAAAATCCCAGGAGAAAGTCCTTTACAGCAGACCATCATGCTTTTATGCTTCACATACACATCAACCAGAGAGAAATACTTCTTTTGTCAAAGGTGCAAATCACAGGAGCAAAGCGAGCTCCAACTAGACTTAACTTGCGTTCTCCAGTGTAGAATCATTTCCAAGACCTGTTATGGCAACCTTTTCTTTTCATTGGAAGAGGAAATAAGCCGATGGGCTTACAGTGTTTTGTTGTCATATTTAAGAGCATGTGATTTTTTAGCTGTCAATTACACAAAAAAAATAAATTCAGAAATAATCCAAACAGAGACCTTCACTGTGGAGCTAAAAGCATGGCAGGAATTCTCTATCATTCACGGTGACATAAGTTTGTACCTCACAAAATGCATAGACAGGAATTTAATATAAAGAATTAGTCCATTTACTGTATACACAAAACATATATCTTTTGTTTTAACACTTCTATTTTTACTTTTTTTCTTTTTTTTCTTTTTTTTTTTTTTTAAGATTTTTTTTTTTTTTTGGCAAACCAACATAGAGAAGCAGCTCTGGAACTGCCAAATTAAAATTGAGAATTTTAGCAACTCAATAGTACTTTTTAAGGATAGTAATCAAATGTGGTTGTAATTTAAAACCTGAGGCTGTGCACTGGTTGTTAGCTTAAAACTACCTTTCCATATAACATTGTGCTTCCATTGTATAACAAAGAAAAAATTAACAAGAACTAGAAAAGTTTGCTGCTGAACAGTGCTAGGACATACAGACAAAAAAATACTAACACATGTTATCTACTCAGAATATTGATTTTGAGTCATATCTAAAGGGATATAATGGACATTAGAAAATGCTTACTTGTGACTGACTTAGCTACTGCCAAAAAAAGTTGAATATGTATCAAATAATGTTTAATTGAATTTATTATATGCACTATATACAGATACTAAAATGCCTTGCAATTGTGCCCCATGAACACATCAAATTTGAGTAGGCAGGTGAGTTCATGTTTAGCAAATAAATTATAAAAACATAAATTACTCAGAAAGTTCTCTAATCTTTGTGATACCAAAAGCCAGTAAAAGGGCAGGACAAATTGTTTCAAAAGAAGCTCTATTAACCTAACTTTGTACAATCTGTATAGCTATTCAGCATGTTTTCACCACTGAAACATGGCACTGTTGTCAAGGTACCATTTAAATCATAACAAAACAAAGCAAAACACCCTGAAAAATTCACTGGACTGATCTTTTTTCCCACCAAATCCAAACAAATGAGAAACTATACTAAACAGTTTTCAATTTGTGTTTCCAAGGGCATATGTTTCAAAAACAAGTTGCTTTTTGAACTATAGATAGACCGATATAAAAGATTCTTTGTAAACCTCTAATCTTAGACTTAACATTTTCTGTAAGTAAATTAGGACCTTACCTAATAGGACTTGTTATGAATTTTGTTCTATGACATACTAGTAGGGCCATGATAAAAGAAAATTGGAAAAGAAAGCTGCATAACACTTAAAGATGTAGAAAACTTGGATTAAGATGATGATTAACATTGTTAAGGCTGTATATTCAAGCACTGTATGTTAAGAGAGCAGTGGATATGATTTTTAGGCAATAAGAAATGTCCTGTTTTATGCATGATACTGTAACTATAGAATGATGATGTCAACAGCTGATTGTTGGCATAAACTGGCTACTTATAGCAGGTATGCGAGTTAATAAAGATAGCAGAAGATGGCAGAAATGAATTCTGAGAAATGATAGCCAGTTTTCTCCAGCAGTCAGCCTGATAAGTAAAACTCCAAGATTCTAGCTCTGCATCTAAATGAAATACTCTTTTTTCTCCTCTGCATTGACTTGGCTGCCTTCTGCATTGATAATGGCTGTGTCGGCATCAGGTGCATCTTCAGCTCCTTTTGCTTCATTTGTTAAATATGTTCCTGTAGGGATCAGTACAAGAGAAAAGAAAAAGAGAAAGATTAGGGTTTGGTTTTTTTTTGCACTGCATTATAGGAAGTACATTTCAAACAATGTACTCCAATTTTTTCATGAATGAAAAATATTTTTACACAGTTTTTAGTGTACATCATAATGGTGTGCTCAACCTTCTAATTTGCTTAAGAAATATTTACACAGATACTTATACTGGTAAAGGCATATATACAAACTCTAGTATACCCACAACAAATTAAGGAAATATTTTAATAAAACTCTACTTTATCAAACTGCAGTAATATGCAACATATTTTTCAATTATGGAATAAGTGATAAAATCTTGGTTATTTTGTGAAATAGTTATCCATCAAAAACAAAGCAATTTTGAAGACTTAGAGATTCATAAAAGTGCTTTTTTTTCTCTTTAATGACCACTGATCATTTGTATTTATGTTTTTTTCTTGATCACATCTATGCTTTATTTTTACAGAATTGTATCATAGTAGGTTCCAAGAGTTACAAAATTGAGGCAGTTTTACTAACTGAACTAACTCATATTATATTATCACAGCTATTTTTATACTCTTGAAATGAATGGAAAAAAGAAATGTGTACAATAATCAAATTTCCCTTTGTGAAAATCATTATTTATGCTGGCATAAGATGTACAACTGTTCATTCAGGAAAGTAAAACAAAAGAGACACACTTTCACTGGCTTATTAAAAAAAAATCTGATTTTCTCCCAGTTAGAATAATCAAATTATAATGTTTTTATCAATTTATGTTTGCTAGGTATATTATTATGCTATCTAAAATGAGAGTTACTGAATTAATACCAACCCTCATCCTCTAATTTTTTTTTTTTTTTTTTTTTTTTTTTTTTTTTTTTTTTGGGGGGGGGGTGGAAAGGGAATCAGCTGAGTTTTAGCAATAGGCCTACAAGCTATACAAAGGCTAAATCTCAAGGCATGATTTTGGAACTAGCTAGGTCAAAATCAAATCACAGAGAAGTCAGAAGTCAGTGTCACTCCATTCCTGTTATCTTTAGAGGCACAGGGGACTGAAAAATGAAGGGACCAGAATTATCAAGGTAAAACTACAGAATAAACTAAATCTAGCCCCAGGAATGAACCCCTTATTCCAGCAGGATCATTGATAAACTGATTTGAAAACTCACTACTGGCTTCTAATATTATCTTTTAAACATATACTTGAAATACTAGCAAAATCCATTAAAATGTAAATTTTGTTCACTCAACGCATATATATCCTGCTGAACTGATATGGTAGTAAAAACTATGAGAACATGATGAAAACATGTAATCAAGTATCAGGAGTTAAGATCCAAAATCAAGGGGAAATTTTACCCCTTGGTCCCTCTAAATCACTGACTTACGAGATGACCTTGGGCATGCACTAACTCCATGTCCTTCGCCTTGCCAGCCCACTGGAAACCTGGTTGAAATTCACAGGGACTTCACTTGTGACTGGACTGAGGACTATTTTTTCTTCCAATCACTTAACAGAGGGGGGGAAATTGAAAGGGAATGGCACTCCCAGGTGAAATCATGTCTTGCTTTCAAGAATGACTGAACTTCCACCAAATGTGTCCTACCTTTATGTCTTGCCAGGTATCGACCAAGGAGAATTATAGAACATAGTGTTACAAAGACAACTACAGCCACTATTCCTCCTATAAGAGCGTGATCAGGTCCGGTCTGTCCAGCCAAAGCATTTGGATCTAGAGGGAGAGACAAGCAAAAGTGGTCCCACACAGAGAAAAAAAAATGACAGGAAAATTCACAATACCAAGTTTTATACTGATCCTCCTGAAAATAGGGCATTTCGTTCTTTAATATTCAGCACCGTTATTCCCACTTTTACTCCCAGTATCTTATCAACAGCACAGTGCTGCTTGTATTCCCAGATTGATAAAACCCTGAGGACATCACAGTTATGAAAAATATTACCCTATTCTTCTTTGGCAGAGGTTATTAAATGAAAAGGGTTCCTAGCTTTGTCCTAGTCATTTTACAACAGAAAACCTGGCCCCAACTATTTATAGAAGGAAAAACAAGGAAGTGAGAATTGGGGATCAGATAGCATCAGCAGAATAATGTCTGCATAATACATAATTTATAGAATTGATTCTCAGTGGGGAACCTTTATATGTTCTCTTCCTCCCATTCCTACCCTCTTGCACCAGAAATGAAAAGGCAGATAAAGTGCAGCCGTGCCAAGTTCCTCTGCACATGGCTGAGTCTGCATGGATTTGGTTAGATAAAGGTAACAGGCAACCTGAAACTCAGCATTCAGACTCAAGCATTAGTTTGTGAATTTACTACAAGTGCTCAATTAGCACCCAGTGTGTGATATCTATTACACCATGCTGTAATAGATATCACAGAATCACAGAGTCAGCTGGGATGGAAAATACCTTTGAGATCATCAAGCCCAAACAATAAAGCGACATGACCTTGTCAAGCAGTCCATGGCACTGAGTGTCACATCCAGTCACATAAACACCTCCTGGGATGGTGACTCCACCACCTCCCTAGCCAGCCCATCCCAATGCCCAATTACTCTTTCTGTGGAGAACTTCCCAATGTTCAAATTAAGCCTCCTCTGGCACAGCTTGCACTTTGGTTTGTTGGACCTCATGCTGCTGTATTCAGCCCATCGACCCAGCCTGTTCAGGTCCCTCTGCAGAGTCCTCCTACCCTCCAAGAGATCAACACTCCCCCACAACTTGGTGTCATCTGCACATTTGCTATTGGCAGAGTGAATCAGCAGGTTCCTTTTTCCACCTCAGAGCACAGATTCAAGTGTTCTGTGCTGGTCATTTGCGTGTTCTGTTTGCCCAATGCGTCACAAAAGTTGCAAAGAGACAATCATGGGAAATGGCACTGCTTTGGGGTGAGTAATTCTTCAGAGCTTTTAACAACAAACCAGTAACCTGTGACTGTTGACTCAACAGATAAATGCAGAAGGTAAAATTTTAATCTGAGGATCATGACATGGCTCCTATTATAATGAAAATGTCTCTGCTATGAAGTAATAGTAATTGTCTGAAGATGTTATTAGCATGTACTGCATGCTGCAATCATTTCACTCACTGCTGCAAGGGAATTTCCTTTGTAGGAGCTGTTTATATTCTTCAAATAGTTTGCAAATAACTACTTTGCTTTGCAAAAGGGAAAGGCAGGAACAATATTTACACATAAAAGAGGGCAAATCTGTAAAGATGACAGAAAGGTCTCTGATAATGCTGAGGAGGTGTGATTCCATAATACCATGATTACATTCTGCTGACCAGGATAGCAATATGGCAGTAGGATGTGTGGATACATCTGATATGGGAGTCTCATGAGGTGTAACAAGGCTAAGTGCTAGTGTTGCACCTAGGTCAGCGCAAGTCCTGTCCTGGGGGATGAACAGATCCAGAGCAGTCTGGCTGAAAAGGACTTGGGGATGCTGGTGGGTGAGCTGCCCTTGTGCTCTTGCAGCCCAGAAAGCCAAATGTGTCCTAGGCTGCACCCAAAGCACCGCGGGCAGCAGTCAAGGGAGGGGAGTGAGCCACTCTTCTGAGACCCCATCTGGAGAACTGCATCCAGTTCTGGGGTTTCCAGCACAGGAAGGACATGGACCTGCCGGTGTGAATCCAGAGGAGACCACCAAGCTGATGTGAGGGATGGAGCACCTCTCCTAAAAGAAAAGGCTGAGAGCATTGGGATTGTTCAGCCTGGAGAAAACATGGCTTTCTGGTGACCTAATTGTGGCCTTCCAGTACCTGAAGGGAGCCTGCAAGAAAGATGGAGAGACACTATTTGCAAGGGTTTGTAATGATAGGACAAGGGGAAATAGCTTCAGACTAAGAGTAGTTTTAGAGTAGATTTTAGTAAGACATTTTTCACTGTGAGGGCAGTGAGGTGCTGGCACAGGTTGCCAACAGAAAGAGTGGCTGCTCCATCCCTGGAAGTGTTCAAGACCAGGATGCATGGAGCTCTGAGCAACCTGGTCTAGTGGAAGGTGTCCCTGCCTATGGAACTAGATGATCTTTAAGGTGCCTTCCAACTCAAGCCATTCTATAATTCCAAGATCTACAAACCCACATGTATATAATGTTCCACTGATGGAAGAAAAGAATCCTGCTTTCCCTTCCTTTTGCAAACTGTGAAGCATTCTGCAAACACATTCTCTGGCTTGCTGGAGCATAGAGTGGTGTGGCCACTGGTACAGATTCAGTTCTGCTCTTAACAGTGACTGGACTTGTTAGACAGGATTTTGCCACTTATTGCTGGCTTTCTGAGCTCCCACAGCTTTCTCTTCTGGCTGCCAAAAGGATTTTGGGGAAACTGGTCATAGAACTTCTCTGGATATGATGGCAAAAAATAGGTATTTGGCCTCAAAAAAGCTAGAAACATTTCATAAAGTCAGCTGTCCTGCATCCTCCTCCACCTCCACATCCTCCTGGCATGGTGCTGCTGATGGTGGCACCACACTGAGTACACATCACCACTCCAACAGGACATAGGTTCCATTTTGGTCATTAAATCTGACCCCAAATCCTGTGCACCAGCAGATTCACAGGGGAAAGCAAGAGTGCTGGAGCATTGCCTTCCCAAAGAAGGAGCTTGGAGCATTCAGCCTTCCTCTCCCTTGCCTTGCAGGGGCTTTGTTTTTCAATCAGAGCAAGGAGGAGGTGGCTGCTTGCTTGAGAAGATGGAAGGTGACAGATTACTGCAGGAATGTCAGAGAGAGAGAGAGATATCTCGAAGATTCCTCCTTTGGTGCTATGTGGCAATGTTGAGTAAAGCTCCTCCCTGCAGCAAAAGGGCAGGACCCATTTGGACTCTGAGGACACCCATGTCCCCAAGCCCTGCTGTGTGTGACCTGCAGGAGATGCTCTTTGGCGGCACTGGGGCAGGAGCAGCATGAACATGTTTTCCCACTAAAAACTGGCTTCTGCCGGTGTGCTGCCAGTAACACTGAAGAATAGAAGGAGATCTTTTAAGGGATAATATACTTCCTGATGCAGAGCATAATCCAGAGAAGGGTTAGCACAGAACTTTATCTACAGGAATTTTTGCAAAGCTGATTGAAGCACACAGCCTTAGCTCAATACCCAGACTTACAACGCATGTCCTGTGTGAGCTGTAATAAACATTACAGATAAAAATCCTCACAATACACTGAGATGAATACATCTCTGTGTTTTTATCCTCTGGTGTTTCCAACTCAGAGTGACTCAATCCTCCTCTGACACACCTGCTGTGATTACAGGAAGTGACCCAAAGCCAGCCTAAACACAAGGCTTCCACCTATTAGTGTGGATTAATGAGATTCTAATACTACCATAGACTGATTTTTTTAAAAACATTAAAATTAAAGTAGGTATTCATTGGACTGCAAAAGTAGCAGCATATTTTTTGCTCTAATTTCAACCTTGCTACCAAAGCCAGATTAGATTGGTTGGTATTGATGGAGAAGTTTGTCCAGAGAAAACCTCAAAAACTTACACATAACCTATTATTACTATATTACAGTGAACAATTCCTTTGTTAAAAAAGACAAAGGAAAGGAAGAAGAGAAAGCAAAAAATGGAAGCACGGGAAATAAAGAAAGATTCTTAAAAGCAGCCAGCATTTTCTTTGGAGACAAACCTTTTTTCCATCTCAAAATGAAAATCTACACAACATAAACAATATTCTGAACAGGAAGCATACCTCATGAATAGTCTCCTCATAGAAAAATAATGCTAGCATTAAATATAAACATGCTCTACATTATGCATACAGAGTAATGCACCATGCTTTTGCTTTTCATGAAACGACCTAAGCCCCATGAGTGAATTATAGATCTGGGTCTTTCTGTCATGGTATAAATAATTACTATTTCAAAATGTGCCCAAGCAGTATCTGAAAGACAGAAATACAGGGATTTGGAAACTACTCTTTTTTGTATTTTAGGTATTTGTACAGTGAACATGCATAATAATTCAAGTGTTCTGGGCAGAAGTCTTAGCAATTGCCAGTAAAGTTCCTGAAACCACTGGCCACTCCACAGTGTGCTTTCCAAAAAGCAGAATATTATTCATACTATTTTTAAATTCACATTTTAAACTTTATGGAATTTACCAAGTAAATCCTACCTTGCCATACATACAACTCCAGCAAATGAAATCTTAGGTATGCAACTGTGCAATAAATACTTATAATTCAGCTGTTTCCATTAAAAATAATAATTTTTTAAAAATTACACTTTTACTGCTTTAATGCATACTGTTTTTTACTGCATGAGCACAGGCAGCTACAGTACCCATGGCCTGAAACAGTGGAATTACAGTTTTGCAATCAGACTATATCTTCAGAGATCAGTTCTTTTTTCTGCATGTTTTGTCCTTTGATGAAACTAAGAAAATCTTATTTTAAAAAAAGTGACACAAAACCTCACAATTCTATTTAACTTGCTCTCCCCCCCTCCACTCCCTCTCTTCCGATCTTGCAAAAATTTACCCATTTTTATCTTTTTGGGTTTCCCTGTTACTGTTTGTTCACAAACTGTGAATACACTTAAATTAAATAACAAACACTAAAATAACACTCTTAAAATGACTAAGAGGGGAAAACCCCCTCATTTTTTAAGAGATGAAACACATCAGATAAACCTTAGACCTAATAAATAAGTAGATATGTGCTTTTTATGACCTGCTGACAAAATTTCAATGTATTCAATGTAGAA